TTTCTCAAAAACAACAGAGTAAGAATCCTACTGTAAGCATCTCTTGTTTGTTTTATTAAACCAGCATAGTAAAGTATTTTGGATGATCAACGGCTGCGTAAATCGAACTTTAAAAGAATTTAAATCCATCTTTCTACGTGACTGAAGAGACTTTCACCGTGAAGGGAAAGCCCCCCACCCCCCAGTGACACTGACTGTGACAATCATTAAGTTATGAAAAGTTATGAAAAATTGGTACACCCTCCAGTTGTATGACTCATAATCTCTCTCTGGTGAAAACTAGTAATATTTCTGCCTACCTTCCGCTCAAACTAATCAGAATAGCAATCTACTTTCTATATACTGTAGAAAACAGTGATATTTCTCTAGTAAGATTCTGGGGGAGAAAAATACAACAGCCAAGGAACTTCTTACCTCATACTGTGTGAATTACAATTCTTGCATTTGTAAATGATCTGAACCATTAGTAAGCCTTTCAAAGATGTCCAGAGTGACCGGGGAGGGGAAGGTTTCCACCTCACTTCTCCTGTTGCTATTTCCATCTTCAAACATGCTAAACATTTGGGGGCTATCTTTGAACTATGACTAAAATTAACACATCACCTGGTGAACGCAATGTTCCGGTTGTATTACAGGTTCACACCCGTGACATCCTCTGGCTCAAGCTCTGTCTTTTGGCAGTCCATGGTACCTTTAATATTCATCTCCAACACCATAACTCAGATGCACCAATTCTTCTACGATCTTCCTTATTCACTGTCCAATTTTCACATGCATATGAAGTTATTGAAAATACCATGGCTTGGCTCAGGTGACCTTAGACCTCAAGCTGACATCTTTGCTCTTCAACACTTTAAAGAGGTCTTGTACAGCAGATTTGCCTAATGCAATACATTTGATTTCTTGACTGCTGCTTTCATGAGTATTGATGGGTAAGCTGAGCAAAATGAAGTCTTTGACAACTTCATTCTTTTCTCCATTTATATGGATGTTGTTTATTAGTCCAATGGTGAGGATTATTCTTTTCTTTACAGTGTGGTAGAAGCCATATTAAAGGCTGTCTTTGATCTTCATCAGTAAGTATTTTAAGTCCTCTTCACTTGCAGCAAGCAAGATTATACTGTCTGCATATTATCACAGGTTGTTAATGAGTCTTCCTCCAATTCTGATGCCACGTTCTTCTTCACATAGTCTAGTTTCTTGGATTAGTTGCTCAGCGTACAGACTGAATAAGAATGGTGAAAATATATAACCCTGGCACACACCTTTGCTAATTTTAAACCATTCAGAGTTCCCTTATTCTGTTTGAACAACTGCCTCTTGGTCTATGTACAGGTTCCTCATAAGACCAATTAACTGTTCCTGAATACTCATCCTTTCAATGTTGTTCATAGCTTGTCAGGATCCACACAATCAAAAGCCTTTATGTAGTCAGTAAAGCACAGGTAAACATCTTTCTGGTATTCTCTGCTTTCAGCCAAGATCCATCTGACATCAGCAATGATATCCCTTGTCCCACTTCCTCATCTGAATCTGGCTTGAACCTCCGGCAGTTTTCTGTCAATGTATAGTTGCAGCCATTTTTGAATTATCTCTAGCAAAGTTTTACTTGCATGCAGTAGTAATGATATTGTCTGATAATTTCTGTGTTCCACTGGGTCACCTCCCTTTGGAATGGGCACAAATATGGATGTCTTTCAATCAGTTAGCCAGAATTTCTTGGTATAGATGACTGGGTGCCTCCAGTGTTGCATGAGTTTGTTGAAAGACTTCAATTTGTATTCCACCAATTCCCAGAGCCTTGTTCTTTATCGGTGCCTTCAGTGCACCTGGGACTTCTTCCTTCAGGATCATTGACTCTTGATCATATGCTACCACTTGAAATAGTTGAATATCGACCCTTTCTTTTTGGTACAGTGACTCTGTGTATTCCTTCCATCTTCTTTTGATACTGCATCCTTCAGTATTTTGCCCATAGAATCCTTCAATAATTCAAGTCAAGGTTTGACTCTTTCTTTAGTTCTTTCAACTTGAGAAATACTGAGCATGTTCTTTTCTCCCCCAACAACTGATCCTTCCTCTTTGTTTCCAACCATTGCATTCCAATTGCCAGTAATTATCAATACATCTTGATTACATGTTTTATCAGTTTCAGACTGAAGATGTTGGTAGAATTCTTCTACCATCTTCATCATCACTCACCTTAGTGGTTGGTGCATAAATTTGAATAATAGTTGTGTTAACTGGTCTGTCTTCCTTGTAGGTGTTTGGATATTATCCTATCGCAGACAGCATTGTACTTCATGACAGATCTTGAGATGTTCTTTTGGATGATGAATGTGATGCCATTCCTTTTCAATGTATTATTCCCAGCATAGTAAACCAGGTGATATTCAGAGTCAAAACAGCCAATTCCAGTCCACTTCAGTTCACTAATGCCTAGGATAAAGTCCTGTTGTGTTGCTATAGGATAATGCACTGGACTGCAAGGTCATTTTGAAACACAAGATCAGCAGTTCATATTCACCAATCCTTCGAAACCCTATAAAGGATTGCTATGAATCGGAACTGAAGGCACTTAACAACAATGCCTAGGATAGTGACGCTTATGCGTTCCACTTCATTTTTTGGCAACAGCCAAGTTTCCTAGATTCATACTTTGTGCATTCCAAGTTCTGATTATTAATGAATATTTGCAGCTGTTTCTCCTCATTTTTAAGTTGTGCCCCATCAGCATATGACGCTCCCGAAGGCTTTATAGTCCATTTGGATCATCATGGTCAACTCTACTTGGAGGAGGCAGCTCTCCCCTAGTCTGATTGGGAGTGCCTTCCAACCTGAGGGGCTCATCATCCAGCACTATATCTGACAATAGTCTGGTGCTCTTCATCATGTTTCAGTATTCAATATTATCATGCTATCAGACAGTGTTCCCCTGCTATTCATAAGGTTTTCAGTAGCTAAATATTCGTCTCTCCTTCCTAGTCTGTCTTCATCTGGAAGCTCATCTGAAACCTGTCCACCATGGGTGACCCTCCTGGTATTTAAAACACCCATGGCATAGCTTTCAGAATCACAGCAACTCACAAGCCACCACAGTATGACAAACGGACAGGCGAGTGGTGGTATGGAAGGTGATGAATTTTTTGTGTGTGCTATTTTCTTGGATGCACAATATTTTTTAAAAATATAGTGATCATATGGAAGGTGATGACTGTATTTTCACAACTTGTGCCCACGAAAATAGCATGTACACTCATATTATACACATAGTATATGTAGGAAAATAGCATTGTACACTTATGTAACACACTGTGTGTGGAAAAACAGCATGTACACTCATATAACGCACATAGTGTATTAGGAAAATAGCACTGTACACTTATATAACGCACATAGTATGTGTAGGAAAACAGCATGTACACTCACATAACACACACAGTGTGTGTGGAAAAACAGCATGTACACTTATATAACGCACATAGTGTGTGTAGGAAAATAGCATATACACTCAGATACGCATGTAGTGTGTGTAGGAAAACAGCATGTACACTTATATAACGCACATTGTGTATGTAGGAAACTGAGGTGTGGGAATTGTGCATTTTACAAAAAACTATACTGTGCACATTATTTGTGTAAAAATATGGCACATTAGATGACACAGATATAGGGATTAGGACCCAGCACGTATTTGGGAGGACACAATTCAATCCATAACATGATGACATAGGAAATCTCAGACAAGCTCCCAAGACCTTCAAAGGCACTCCATCAGCCTCTGTGTGGCCTCGACTGGGGCCAGCTCAGATGCTCACACGAGCTATTGGGTTCCTCCAGGGCTGACCCACCTCCCTGGCGTTTGACACAAGAGAGGCCAAATTCAGCAGTGGTACTATATCCTGGCAAGTCCCCGTGGTCACCAATGATGCTCAGTTAGCCATCAGGAAGAGCTTCTGCAGGAAACATCACTTCCTCCCTCTGGTCCCCCCTGCATCCGGAGGGGTTGAAATAACTCCAAGCAACTCAACGCTTGACCCTTACAAGAGACCGAGTCTCCTGCATCAACACAGCTAGAAAAGCAGCAGACACAGGCATAAGCTCATTTACCAGGGTACTTCAGAAAGGCAATGAAAAGATCATGAATTTCTCCACCAACTTTTCCAATCCCAGAGGTCCCAGGCCTACTCTGAGTGTGCCACACTGGGACTGGGAAAAGCTCACGTCTGAAGCGCTGTCCTGAGGGAGAGCCATGAAGGGAGAGCCCCTTGCTGGACATCACTGCTGTAACTGGCTCACTGAACTCTCCTTTCTCTGCTGTTTCTTTATTTTAGATTGACTTTCTTTTTCTTGCATTGCATTATGCTTTTATCAATATCTTTCCATTTATTCTGACTTCTTTTTTACTTCCCCCTTTACCTGAATTAATATATTGATCTGTGTCTATGATAAGCATTGGACTGCAGACCAGCTGCTCTGAGGGAGAAAGATGAGGCTTTCTGCTCCCTCAAAGATTTACAGCCTTGGAAACCTTATACAGGTCACTAGGAGCCAGAATTGATTCAAAGTCACTTAATAACAACATCTTCCAGTTAGTGATTTACCTTCCCTTCCCCTCCCACCACTGGGAACCATCAAAGAATGATTATTTTAGTGGCAAAACCTTTTCTTGACTCTTTACCAAAGTGACCTCATACAATTGGGATTAACCAGTCTCACTCAGGCGGTTGTCTCAGCAGGTTCGTCCATGGTGACATGTTAACGCTGCAGAGCATCATCCACGGTTAGCCACTCTCCCCCAGATGGCCACATAGCTTGTTTCCATCTCAATTAATTTCCATCAGCTCCCATCGCGGACTTAGTGATTCTGGGCCTTTGCTACCAATCCTCAGCCTCTGCACCTCCGAATGTTAAATGTCCCTGTGCCTAAACTGACATGCAGGACTTTGAGGGAAGGGCTGAGAAGTAACTGACCTTTTTTGTGTGTCTCCTTGAACCAGTGAACTCTGGGGATGGCATTGACTACAGCCAGCAGAAGAGGGAGAACATCGGGGACCTGATCCAGGAGACTCTGGAGGCCTTCGAACGATACGGGGGAGAAGACGCTTTCATCAACATTAAGTACATGGTCCCCACCTATGAGTCGTGCTTACTAAACTAGCCGTGAGAACGCTGGCCTTTGAGGAAGGCATCCACTGGAGGCTAGGGCTTCAGCCTCAGCTGCTTTGGGCATCGCGTTATTTGTGACTTCTCCGGCTTTCTTTACCACAGCTGATAAGATAGTGGCTTCTGGGCCATTGGACTCTTAGCACTATTGAGAGCAAGGCTTTCCAATACATAAATGGCGCCTCTTTCTTCTATTACAATGGTGTCCTGTGCTTATTTGTCCCAAGCGAAGAACTGCTTCTTTATACAGCTCAGACAGAAGCAGGAATCCCAGTGAAACCTTTGCTTGTAGAGACAATAAAAATGATCATTTTCATAAGCCATTCGGCACTTACCGTCCTGTGTCTGCCTGCCCTGAGGGTGGATTCAGAGGGGGTCAGGGACCAGTGTACGCTGTTTGTCAGGGAAAAGAGGCACCAGCCCAGTGGTGCCACGCTCACAGCTGTGTGGGACAGTCTGCCTGAGGCTCAATAAAACTGTGCAGTCTATTCTCCAGTGTCACTTGGGCACTTTTGCAAACGCTGCATGAAGTGCAGCTCTAAGCCACATCAGTGCCTCTAGCCCACTGAAGACCTGGCCCCAGGGGTGCTTCTCCATTTGAATTTGGATGGATGGGTGGGAGGGTCCCTTGATGGCTGATGGTGACAGAATACTGTATGAAATGTCACTTTGTAAACATGGCTCCCAAAATTTGTCCCTTTGTTTGATGATATTGGATGGTGAAAGTGAAGAGGACTTAAAACATTTACTGATGAAGATCAAAGAGCACAACCTTCAGTATGGGTTACATTGCAATGTAAAGAAAACAAAATCCTCACCACTGGACCAATAAACAGCATTCTTATCAATGGAGAAAAGATTGAAGTTGTCAAGGACTTCATTCTTCTTGGATCAACTAAGAACAGCAGTCAAGAGATCAGACGACGTATTGCATTAGGCAAACCTGCTGCACAAGACCTTTTTAAAGTGTTGAAGAGCAAAGATGTCAGCTTGAGGACTAAGGTGCGCCTGACCCAAGCCATGGTATTTTCAATAACCTCATATGCATGCGAAAGCTGGACAGTGATTAAGGAAGACCATAGAAGAATTGGTGCATTTCAGTTATGGGGTTGGAGGGAAACATTGAAAGTGTCATGGGCTGCCAAAAGAACCAACAGATCCGTGTTGGAAGAAGTGTAGCCAGAGTGCTCCTTGGAGGCCAGGATGGCCAAACTTCGTCTGTCATACTTTGGACATATTGTCAATAGGGACCAGTCGCTGGAGAAGGATATCACGTTTGGTAAGGTGGAGGATCAGAGAAAAAGAGGAAGACCCCCAGTGAGATGGACTGGCCAAGTAGCAGCATCGATGGACTCAAGCGTGGCAATAGTAGTGATGTTGTCCCAGGACTGGGCATAGGGTCGCTATGAGTCGGTACCAACTCAGTGGCACCTGACTACAACAACAACAACAACAACATGCACAAAACATCACCAGCAAGTTGTCTAGGGCTTTTCATCATTTTTTTGAAAATGACTCATATGCATCTTTTTCTAATTTAAATTTTCTTTTATTGTGAATTGGATGAAGGTTGATGGAGTAGATCCATGTTCCTTCCATTCAACAAATCCATACACGTTTTGTTTCATCTCACTGACTGCAATGTAACATCACTTGTCCCACTTTCTCCCTGTGTTTCCTGGTTCCGTTCCTCCTTTCGAACATTGTCCTTGGGCAGATGCTCCCTGTTTCATCCAAATAGTTTATAATGTTATTGTTCCCCTTGTAGACCTGCCCCTGTTGTTGTTGTTGTTGTTGTTGTTGTTGTTGTTAGGAGCCATTGAGTCGGTACTGACTCATCGTGACATTATGCACAGCAGAATGAAACACTGCCTGATCCTGGGCCAACATCACTACTGTTGCCACACTTGAGTCCATCAATGATGCCACTTGGCCAATCCATCTCGTTGGGGGTCTTCTTCTTTTTCTCTGACCCTCCACCTTACCAAACATAATATCCTTCTCCAGTGACTTGTCCCTCCTGACAATATGTCTGAAGTATGAGAGACGAAGTTTGGCTATCCTGGCCTCCAAGGAGCACTCTGGCTACACTTCTTCCAACATGGATCTATTG